TAGTCGAAGCCAATCATGGAAACCCATTTTCCTGGTTTTTGGTGGGAGAAGCGAAGGGCCTAGGGACCCAGCATTGCTAACGGAACGCAGAAGTCTGCCAGGGCAGTTTCCAAAGAAAGTGCGGTGGTACCAGCCTCTTCCTTCTCCCTCTTGCCAAGAATGCAGATGTGATGGATAGAGCTTGAGAAGCCATCTTATCACCACAAGGAAAAGGCCAATAAAAGAAAAAAAAAAAAAACAAATGAAACCCATGCAGATCCCTCAGACCCAACATCATGGAGCCACTGTACCAGTGCCAGCAACCACCCACCTCAGGATTTCTCTGTCACATGAGAAGAAATTACGCTATGTATTTAAGCACTGTGATTAGGTTACCTGTTACTTGCAGCCAAAAGCATTCTACTTAAAACACATCAAAAGAATGATTAACATCCTCCATTTAAAAAATTAGCTGTTAAATCAGGACCCAGAAAGGTAGGGATAAAACACTGTTCTTAAAATGATACTGTGTGAATAAAGTGAGTATATGAGGACAAATTTGAATTACAGATGAGATCACTGAAATGGGTCAAAAGCAAATGTCACGTACGTATCAGGGTTTAGCCAGATCAACCACTGCGCACTGGCAACGCCATCCTGGGTCACTCCTGCTTAAGGGCAGAGAAATGTGTTTCCTTCTGTCTGTGACGAATAAGACGGAACCAAACTTAGAACAGTGACAACTCGAGGTCTAATGCCAGAAAGAATCTAAACTTTAACCACTGGCTCATTCTTATATTTGTCCCTCTTTTGTCTCCTTTCATAAGCTCTTCCTTTTATCAGAACATGCAAGTCCCTTACATCCTTCAGCAGGCTGGGGTTTTATGTCCTCTCCAGTGGGTGGACAGACGAGTTCCAGTTTACTTCTGAGAAAACACAGCTTCTACTATTTTTGGAGAGCCTATCTAAAGAGCAGAAAATTGCCCTGTAATAATACTTTTTGGACTGTGGTTGGGAAGTGGTCCTTATAATGGAGCAGTTAAGACCAAGGCATCTATTTTCTTTCCAGGGGGTAGAGAGGGAAGTATGTATAAAGTGTTCTTAGATGAAAATGTCCACGCTGGTGTTCCTTTCTCTAGCCTAGTTACAGTGCTTGATTACCATTCCCCTACAGGGCTGTGGGTGGTTGCTCTGGGAAATAGAGAATACTCAGCCTGGATGTCCCCTCAGCACACAACTTGGGAGCACTCGAGGCCAGGGTCCTCTGTGCTAGCTAACTCCCACTTGTTGAGATGGCCAGACTCACTTCATGACAATTTATCAGTATGTGGTTAATCATTTCCTTCAGAGAGCAGGGGGAGAAGCTGATTCAAAACGTTTGGACAAAGGGGTCATCTGAGGGCTTCTCCGACAAGTCTTTGTGACAATGGAGGTTTTGGGCACAGAGCAGGGACTCCAGCACTGCACCAGAGGCTGAGTGGCTTGGGAAGACAGTGCACTCCTCCTTAATGATAGGACATTCTCTTCTGTCTGGGAAAAATTACAGGTGGCCATCCTTGGAAGCAGGCACAGCTCAAGGTCTCTTCAGTTCTCAGAGGCACAAAGAATTTAACTTGGACAATGGGTTCTGGTTTTTGTTTGGAGTTCTCCCTGCCGTCAATTCTTTTCATAGAAACCTTCCCCCTTTCTACCTGGCTCCTTGGGTTCCTTTAAAGATTGAAAAAACTGTTTCAGGAAATTGTGAGTGATTCTCTCAAACCAGCCTTGGCTTTGGGGAAGAACTTCCAGGCCTGGGAGAGATCAGGAGCACATGACCAGGATGGGTCTGCCAGGGACCATGTCTCAGACAGAAGCTCCCAGGCCAATTTGTCTGCATAGAGGCAGGCATGGGAAGCGGCCACTCGGTGGGGTGGGGGTGGGGTTGCCAACACACCCTTCCTCACCAGGCACCTCTTCAGGAGGGAAAGCCACACCCCCACTGCCCCCTCAGACAGAGGTTCCATCTAACTATGGCACAGTCTAGTCACCATCACACCTGCTCCTGCTTTAAATGAATTCTCTCTGCTCCTCACGGGATCTGTTCCTGTTCCTCTTCCCCATTTCAGAAAATGGCCTCGTTACCCTCCAGCCCTCATCATCCCAGAGTCTCTTCTTCCTCTTCTGTTCACCCAGTTTTGCCAATATTTGTGCCTCAGTATTTTAAAAAATTCTCCGACTCTTAACCCTTCATCGGCTCTACCGGTGGACTAAAACCATCTAATCTGACTCGCTGCCAGAAAACATTCCACCTAAAATGTAAATCTGATCATTTTCCTTCTCAGCTTAAAATCCTTCTCAGGCCACAGGTTAAAGTCCAGAGAAGCTCTGGCATGACCGACAAAGCCTGTGAAGACTGGACGTTAGCAGCCTTACCCACCCCGAAAATCCTGGACACTCCATCAGCCGGGCTCTCCGCAGCTTCCCTCACACACCTGACAGTGTCACGGTTTCGCTGGAGCTAATCCTGCTGTGGAGCAGACAATGGAAAAGGGAAATCCTCCCTGTGGGCAAACCCTGGCACATCTCATGGTGCCACAGGCACAGCAGAGGTGACCTGGTTTCTACATCTCGGTGGAAACGGTTAAGGGCCTAGCCGCCCGAGGAGAAACCGCAAAGAAAGTAAGTGACAAGGAGGTTTGAGAAACAGCATTAATGGGTCCAAATGGAACCAGAGCCCGAAAAGACTCACGTTCCACATGCTGGCTCTTCAGAGACCTTCATAGCAAAAGAGAATATTCAAACTAGCTGGCAGGAAGGGCTGTTCTGTGGATACCCAGCCATTCGCTTTATCCAGACAGCCTGGTACTTGCTCGAATGACTTACAGACACACTGGCCCTGGTGCCAAGGGAAAAGGCACCAAATGGGCTCAAAAACACATCCTCCTGCTCTCCACGGCCCGACTCCTGGCCCTGCTGGGCGTCCTGCTGCCAACACAGTGACCCACACCAACATCACACCTTTAGACCCTGGCCAGCTCCCTAGTGAAGGCTGATTCCACTGGGCCCCTTCTAGAAGAAGAGTGACTTATCACCAGAATAGACACTGTAGACTGCCACGCCTCTGCCAGCCGCACCAGCCAAAGATTTACCCAGTCCTTTCTATCCCACACGACGCTGCTTCCAAACAACTGAGGCTGCAGAGAACTCACTTCTCTGCAGATGAAGTGAAGCAAGGGTCTAGCTGCCAGAGGATTCTCAGCTCCTCCCAGGTACTGTATCAGCCGAAGTGGCAGGCCTTGCGGGGAACTGTGCTGCGCTCATGCCTGGTGAACACCCAGGATCACAGCACACAAGCCCCGGAGCTGATGGATTGGGGATAGAGAGGACATCTCCCATAACCATCTCCAATGACTTGCCCACGAGATTGTTGCTTTTTGCCCATGTTTCCAGGCCCTGGTGATCTGGCGGTTTTAGCACCCAGGAAAGAATGCTTCTGTGCGAGATGGCATGAGGGTGGATGCTCAGGCTGCACCAGGCTGATTTGGGCATCTCAGGCTGCTAAGGAAACAGAGTCCTTGCAGAAGTACCTTAGGATGCAGAGGAGGACAGTCTGTGGGGTGTCCCCACTGGGGAGCTCATTTGTGACTGGGTATGGGATGGCCGGATCTGTGCACTGGGGACCTCCTTAAAAGTGTGTACACATGACACATGCACGTGTGAGTATACACACACATGCACACACACTGGACAAAGGAAGGGGACAAGCCAGCGGGCCCCTGACGGTGGGGGGGCTTCCTGACTCACCCTAATTTCCCCCTCTTTGGAAATTGTCTTCAATACACAGGTAACCCAAGCAGCCAAGCTTGCCCTAAGCAACTCTGTCAATTCCCCAAGAATCTGGAAATTTGTGGAGCCCTGGGAACGAGGTCTCTGATCCTCAGTGCCTAGCATGGCGTCAGCAGAGCAGAGGCGGGATCGCACTTGTCCAGTCAGTCAGATGTTCACAGCAAGGGTCTAGAGAAAAATACCTCCTAGAGCCAAGCTGTTGGAAGCAAGTCTGGCTCTGACCCTTCCCTGGATGTGCAGCTCTCCCTTGCACTCCTTGAGAGATTCCAACATTCTTCCAATAAATTTCTTTGACTTGTAAACTAGTTAATCTTATCTTAAACCAAAATATTCTCAGTACTTACAAAGGGCTCTTCTACTACCCTAAAAGGAAATGTATGCTCTAAAACCAGATCTCAGCCCCTTTAATAGTGCTGAGTAAGGCCTCAGGGGTCATCAGTTTATTCCCTTCAGTTCTTGGGGTTCTCCAAGTCTGTGGTCGGCCATAATCTGCTTCTCAACCTTTCTAACCAACCAAAGAGTATGTCCCAGGCGACTTGGAGCTATGAATCCTCTCCCTAGAAAAAAAGCAACATACACACACCACTGTATGGCGTTTTAAGGGATGTGGGGAGTCTAGGCTAAGAGCTTCCATTAAGCATCACCTTACTCCCTAAGGGCTCCAACCACAGGGTCACTGACATTGATGGCTGTCACAGAAAAAGTGTGCCTTACTTCAAATGGTGTAAGGAGCTTATTTCACCAAAATGAATTCTTGGCAGCTGGGACAATCTCTTCCTTGGAAGTCTTACAGTAACAACCCTCTGACAACTGTGCCCTCACATGGGAAGGTCGCCTAATCCTCAGAGTCCTAAATCCAACTGATTTGGTTTTGGCACACAAGCCACTGCTCAGTGTGCGTGCTGATGCCGCCAGGCACAGGGAGCAGTGGCTGACACCTGGAGGAGGGGAAGGACTGGCCACGTTGCAGCTTCAGGCCCCAAAGCAGCATTTGTTAGATACAAATTTCCGTTCCCCAGATGACTTCAAGGAACTTGGTATTTCAGAAGGGTCCCTGCTTTGGCAGCCCTGTAATCTCAGGAGGAGTGAAACCGAAGACCAGAAAGGAAACCTGCTCACGAAGGGCACATCCCTCAGTGGGCAATCACTGCATTAGAACGGCATCTGACGTGGGACTGCAGACAGGACCACATTACCTTTGTCAGCTGCTGCTCAGAGGAAAACCCCAAACCAAACACCGTGTTGGCTCTGCTGTCGGCCCACTGCCCAAACTTCTGTGATGTTTTGGTGAAGGTCATATTCGGTGTGATTGTGCTGTTGATGATCACCTGCAGATAAACAACCCAGAGTGGAAATTTCAATGCTGGATGAGACAGTCATTCCTTAGAAAGTCTTCTGTTGGCAAAGCCAGTGCTTCAAGCCTGCATCCCTGCCCTGTTATATTTGGTCCTGAGTTCTCCTGGCACATCCCATGCTGAGTCAGATACACAACCATGAAAAGGGGCAACTTCAGAGACTTAACAGTCAGTCTAAAATAAGATCCTACGCGTTATCTGTGGGAGACAGTCTCTCCTAAGCAAAGAATAGTTTCCCAAACTGCTATTTATTTCCCCAAAGCTGCCATGCATCAGGGTGCCCTTAATGGCTAGCCATGCCCCACATTCTCAGAACTGCACTATGTTGCTTTATGAGTCACCTGGAGCCCCAGTGTCCAACTCAAACAATTGAAAATCTCTATAAGCAATTGAGGCCTGCTGCTTCCCAACAGGAAGGAGCAGGTACAGTCCAATTAGGATAATTTGTAGAGGGTTAATTGACAAAGAAACCAATCATACAGGTGAGTGGGGTATAGAGAAGCTGTAAAAATGGTGCAGCAGTCTGGTGCACGCTGTCACCACGCCTTGGCCTAAAAGAATCAGAGGATGGGCCGGGCGCGGTGGCTCATGCCTGTAATCCCAGCACTTTGGGAGGCTGAGGTGGGTGGATCACGAGGTCAGGAGATTAGGACCATCCTAGGGAACACGGTGAAACCTCCTCTCTACTAAAAATAATTAGCCAGGCACGGTGGCAGGTGCCTGTAATCCCAGCTACTCAGGAGACTCAGGCAGGAAAATCTCTAGAACCCAGGCAGGGGAGCCAAGATCACGCCACTGCCCTCCAGCCTGAGCAACAAAGCGAGACACTGTCTCAAAAATAAATAAATAAATAAATAAATAAATAAATAAATAAATAAATAAAGCCGGGCACGGTGACTCAAGCCTGTAATCCCAGCACTTTGGGAGGCCAAGGCAGGTGGATCACGAGGTCAAGAGATCAAGACCATCCTGGTCAACATGGTGAAACCCCGTCTCTACTAAAAATACAAAAAATTAGCTGGGCATGGTGGTGCGTGCCTGTAATCCCCAGCTACTCAGGAGGCTGAGGCAGGAGAATTCCCTGAACCCAGGAGGTGGAGGTTGCGGTGAGCCAGGATCACACCATTGCACTCCAGCCTGGGTAACAAGAGCGAAACTCCATCTCAAAAAAAATAATAAATTAATAAATAAATAATAATGAGAGGATGGGCTGGGCATGATGGCTCACGCCTGTAATTCCAACACTTTGGGAGGCTGAAGCAGGCAGATCATGAAGTCAACAGATAGAGACTATCCTGGCCAACATGGTGAAACCACGTCTCTACGAAAAATACAAAAATTAGCATGCCTGCAGTCCCAGCTACTTGGGAGGCTGAGGCAGGAGAATCGCTTGAGTCCAGGAGGCGGAGGCTGCAGTGAGCCAAGATCGCACCACTGCACTCCAGCCTGGTGACAGAGCAAGATTCCACATCACACACACACACACACACAAAATGAGGGAATAGAGAGGCTATAGACCCTGGAAGGGGGATGGATCATGTAGAGTAGGTGACCTTATGTTGGGGGACACAGTCTGGCGACCTCACAGGAGCATAGAACTGGGGAGCCAACACCCTCGCCTCTCTCTCTCTGATCTCCACTTGCCATTGGCCAAACCCAATGGGCCTGGGAGCCCACTGATGTCTGCAAGTTAGCCTCTCAGGGACCAGAGCAGTGTCAGGAAGGGTAGAGGAAGAATCTGAGTCTGAGGTCGAAGGATAAAAAGATAATATCTAGCAATGGCACATTTATTCATTTAAATATTTATTGAACATTTACTATATACCAGACATTCTACTAATTAAAGATACAAAGATGAATTAGTCAAGATTTCTCGTCTTCCAATTACAAGCAGTCAGGAAGAGGACAGAGACACCAAACAACTGATGAGGGTTATAAAATGTCAACAGGCTTACTCAGATAGAAATCCCTGGAAGCCCTAAGACTCTAAGAAAAACACGGGAAAAATGCTCTTGAAAATAAAGGATTACTGGGTGTCTACATAAGGGCAGGTGGCAAAAACCACTGGTTGCTTCGTCAACAGATGATCTGAGCAGGGAACAAGAGCAATCTAAGTAAACATTCTAAAGAGTGAACCTACCAGCAATTTTACTTATTAAGGCTGTTTATTCTCAATGGTCAACTCAGAACATTTTCCTTGTAACTAATAAAACAGGGAAGAGAAAAAAGTTTGAATGGCATAGGCCTTGCTTTCTGTGGTAGGAACCTGAATCTAATCTACCATTTTGCTAAAGGACAGACCTTCCAGATACAGACCCTTGCCTTAACTAAAGGGATCTAGACAGTGATAGCTGACGCTAGTAATAGAAGTATCATCGCTACTGCTATATCTGCATTTATCTATCAGACTGTTGAGTTTGCTGATGAGGCACTGGCTCAAGAGAAAACCTTAGCTTTGCCAGTAAAATAATTTTTAGAATACTAACAGCAGCAATTACTATTTGTTGAACACTTATTGAGTGCCTGACTTAAAACTTACAAGCCTATGCATACGATTATTCCTTCATTTTACAGAAGTAACTAAGATTTGGGAAAGGTTTTTTTGTTTTGTTTTAGGACAGAGTCTTTCTCTGTCGCCCAGGCTGTGGTGCAATGCTGTGATCTCGGTTCACTGCACCCTCTGACTCCTGGGTTCAAGTGATTCCCCTGCCTGAGTTTCCTGAGTAGCTGGATTACAGGTGCCCGCCACCGAGCCCAGCTAATTTTGGTATTTTTAGTAGAGATGGGGTTTCACCATGTTGGCCAGGCTGGTCTTGAACTCCTGACCTCAGGTGATCCGCCCACCTCGGCCTCCCAAAGTGCTGGGATTATAGGCATGAGCCACCACACCCAGTCAAGATTTGAGAGAGGTTAAACTAACTTGCTTAAGGTAACACACGAAAGCTGGACAGCAGCAGACTCTAGAGGTAAAAACTCAGTTGTCTGATTCCAAAACTTGTCCTATAATCGTCTATATCATGTTGTTTCTCATTTTTTTTCTTTTTTTATTGTTTTTTTTTTTTATTGTGTTTCTCATTTTCTACACGATGAAGAAAACAAATATTATTGGTCTTCTTTTCACCATCTATGAAATACTCATGTCCACGAGCTATGGTCCAGGTAACTTTTCCTTTCCTACAATAACTCTTCCATAATGCCAACGTCCATATGAGCTAGGACATTTTACCAAATGTTTTCCATGTGGAAAACTGAATGCAACAGAAGTCAAGAGATCTGCCTGCGGTCACTGGACACTGTCAAGAGATGGGGGCCGGGGAACAGGGCTGGAAAATGCAGATTGAAACCACTGGCAAGTGCTGGGGAGGGATTCTGGCTTAGCCCCAAGTAGGGTGAATATGATGGAACCAAGGCAGACCTTAGCAAGGTGTGTGGCTAGGAGCTGGATCAGGATGGATCACACGACCCCAGAAAGCCAACCCTAGTCACCTCGTCACCTCGTAATTACCAGAATCCTGGGAGAGCAAAGCAATGACTACATCCATTCAGAAACTGGATTCATTTTAAATCTTGCTGCTACCTCACTGCAGACCTATGCCCCTAGGTCAGCTGCCACACCCTAGTTGCAGACCTATCCTCCCCTTGAAAGGCAGTGGAAAGAGGCTGGCCAGAGTATAGGACATGGCCCTTAAGCTCACCCCAAACAGGCTGTCCCAGAGGCAGTCAGGCTGGAGTCACAACGGTGACACCCTCTGCCATTTCTTTAAAACTTAGTTTCTAAGCCACTTTTTCAGTCTTTAATCCCCATTTTTTTCAGATGGGGAAGTTGAGGCTTAACATCGTCAAGGGAACGGTTCAAGGTCATAAAACTAATAAGTGTCTAAAAATAATATAATGTATGTATTACTTACAAAGCAACAATGGACTGATTTCAAAAGCTAAATCTATTTACAATGGCTGGAGGTTCACTCAGCTTCTTAAATCTGTAGACTCAATCAGTTTTTAGAAAATTCTCAACCACTCTCTCCAAGAATATTGCTTCCACTCTATTCTCTCTCCCTGCTTCTACTTCTGGGACTCTAATTACAGACATGCTAGGCCTTTTGAGTGTGTCCAACATTTTTTTCTTTTGAGATAATGTCTTGCCCTGTTGCCCAAGCTAGAGTGAAAGTGATACTCCCATCTCAGCCTCCCAAGTAGCTGGGATTACAGGTGTGCACCACCATGCCCGGCTAAGTTTTGTGTTTTGTATAGATGGGGTTTCGCCCATCTATACAAAATGCCCTAGCTAGTCTCAAACTCCTGGGCTCAAGCAATCCATCTGCCTCAGCCTGCCTCAGCCTTCTGGAGTGCTGGTATTACAGACAGGAGCCACCATGCTGGCCATACCCAATATTTTTTATACTCATCAATTATTTTTCCCTGATTCTTGGTTCTCTCTAATTTTATTTGGGTATTTTCTATTAATCTGCTTTCCAGGTCCCTAATCCTGGCCACTGATGTATCCAATATGCTGCTGTTAAATCTATCCATTGATATATATATAATATATATGTGTGTGTATATATATATATATATATATATATAATATATATATAGAATATATATAGAATATATATATATAGAGAATATATATATATATTTTGATAGAGTCTCACTGGCACCCAGGCTGGAGCACAGTGGCACAATCTTGGTGCTGGGCTCACTATAACCTCTGCCTCCTGGGTTCAAGCGATTCCCCTGCCTCAGTCTCCCGAGTAGCTGTGATTACAGGCACACACCACTACACCCAGCTAATTTTTGTATTTTTTCAGTAGAGTCGGGGTTTCACCATGTTGGCCAGGCTGCTATTGAACTCCTGACCTTGTGATCAACCCATTTCCACCTCCCAGAGCGCTGAGATTACAGGCCTGAGTCACCGCGCCCAGCCTATCCATCGAAATCAGACACTGATTTTTTCAGTTCTAGAATGTCCA